CCCCCGACCCAGTAACCCTCAAATTTTTCGAGGCTGAAAGCAGGTGGAGGGAGGATCAGAGGAAGGGTAAATCATGCCTGAAGGGAGAAGGCAGTAGAGGTGCCGACAGGGCCAAGGTGAAATTCACCAACACTTCCAATTCCAGGTCCCTAAACACCAAAAGAGGCAGCTCCGGGGCATCCAACTGAAAACTTAACCTTAGACTGCTGTAACTGAGCAAAATGTACTCGCAATGCAGAAGCTGTCTGATATGCCCTAACTTTATCAGAAGGGTCAGAAAGAAGAACCACATGGAGAAAGCAAACCCCCAAAGGACTCAGGGTTGAATGTGTCACTGACCCAACAGGTAGCAAGACAGAGACAGAATGAGCAATTGTTGTTCAATGGCACAGACGATGAGCTAGCATCAAACTCGCATAAGGCGAGAGCAGGTTTGGGTGGAATATCCAAAGAACCAAGCTTGCAGGGGATTACCAGGGCCTGAAGAGTAAACCAAGCAGGACACCCAGACACTTGGTGATGCTACACTGGAAAAATGAAAAAGTGTGGAAAAAGGCTAACATAGTTCCGATCTACAAAAGTGGCAGCAGGGAAAAACCTTACCTTGAGGTGCTTCCCTGACCTTGGGGTCAGGGAAGACCCCCTCAATTATAAACCTGTATCACTGACAAGTGTAATAGTAAAAAAATGGGAAAAAAATAATAATAACTAAATGGGTAGAGTACCTGGAGAGAAATTATATCATATCAGACAGACAGTACGGTTTTCTATCTGGAAGATCCTGTGTATCGAATTTACTCAGTTTCTATGATCGAGCCACAGAGATTTTACAGGAAAGAGATGGTTGGGTTGACTGCATCTATCTAAACCTAAATAAGGCTTTTGACAGAGTTCCACATAAGAAGTTGTTCTGGAAGCTGGAAAATATTGGAGGGGTGGCAGGTAAGCTTCTAACATGGATGAAAAATTTTCTGACAGAAAAATGATGGCAGTAATCAGAGGCAATGTATTGTACTGGAGAAATGTCACAAGTGGAGTACCACAGGGTTCAGTTCCTGCACCGGTGATGTTCATTGTCTATATAAATGATCTACCAGTTGGAATACAGAATTATATAAACATGTTTGCTGATAATGCTAAGATAATAGGAAGGATAAGAAACTTAGATGATTGTCATGCCCTTCAAGAAGACCTGGACAAAATAAGTATATGGAGCACCACTTGGCAAATGGAATTTAATGTGAATAAATACCATGTTATGGAATGTGGAATAGGAGAACATAGACCCCACACAACCTATAAATTATGTGAGACATCTTTAAAGAATTCTGATAAAGAAAGAGATCTAGGGGTGGTTCTAGATAGAAAACTATCACTTGAGGATCACACAAAGAACGTTGTGCGAGGAGCCTATGCCATGCCTTCTAACTTCAGAATTGCTTTTAAATACATCGATGGCAAAATACTAAAGAAATTGTACACGACCTTTGTTAGCCCAAAGCTAGAATATGCAGCGGTTGTGTGGTGCCCATATCTTAAGAAGCACATCAACAAACTGGAAAAGATGCTAAGACATGCTACTAAGTGGCTCCCAGAACCGAAGGGCAAGAGCTACGAGGAGAGGTTAGAGGCATTAAATATGCAAAAACTAGAAGACAGAAGAAAAAGAGGTGATATGATTACTACATACAAAATAATAACAGGAATTGATAAAATCGATAGGGAAGATTTCCTGAGACCTGGAACTTCAAGAACAAGAGGCCAAAGATTTAAACTAAATAAACAAAGATGCTGAAGAAATATAAGAAAATTCACTTTCGCAAACAGAGTGGTAGATGGTTGGAACAAGTTAACACTTTCGCGCTCTCCGCAAAGGTCACTCAGCCAACCGAATGTGCGCGCTGCGTTTTTATCGCTTAAGCGTAAAAACAAAAATGTGTATACTCTTTTTACTCTTCTGACCTTAGTTCTCATGCTACGTATTTCATTTTGGTACCAACGTGTTCGCAATAAAATTCTCTAGAAGAACATTAGTAAAATAAGTCACGAAACATATAGGGATACCAGCACCAAATAAATAACTACGTAGATGACTCGCCGTGAGCGCCCATCAGCAACAAAATGTTTTTACTCTTGGGATTGTAATCACCTCCACACTTGTTCTACAGCGTTAATTTTGGTATCAATGGACTCGCAATGAAATTCCCAACACGGTGATATGAATATAAGCGTAGAATAATGATGCAGCCCGCCCGCAAGAGTGTGGGAAGTGGTGAAATTGTTACCCGGTATCGGTGACGGGACGACGCATGGCGCTTTGAAAGTTTATACTTATTTCACTCTCATGACATTAATTTTCTATGTACGTCATTCATTTTTATGTCAATGTGTTCGCAATAGAATGTTCTATGTGCCCATAGGTAAAAAATATCAACAAAGCGTAAGTTAGAATAGCGACAAATATAAAACAACGCTGGAACATATCAGTGAGCGTCAAACACACACGAAATATTTTTACTTTTGTTATGTTTGTCAAGATTATACTTGTTGCACACAGTTATTTTTGGTTGTATATTGATCGGAATAAAATTCCCTAAACAGACATATGCATATAATACATGATATGGGGGAAGAATTACCAGTATAAACGGCTAAAGTCACCCACCTGCAACCCGTTTGGGACAAAATACCATTTGATCGAAGTTATCCACACCTTTCATGAACTTATTGTACCATGCAGCCTAGTGGTGAGAAAGAGAGCCTCATAGCGCGCAGTTTGAAACAAACCCAAAGTAAATCGGATAAAAATTGAATTTTATACAAATATTTTAAAAGTAGACATAACTTTATGTCCACTATGCGTTTACGTTAGACGAAACCGAACGCGCCGGCGCGTCCAGATAGCGCGAAAGTGTTAAGTGAGAAGGTGGAGGCCAAAACCATCAGTAGTTTCAAAGCGTCGTTATATGACAAAGAGTGCTGGGTAGACGAGACACCACGAACGTAGCTCTCATCCTGTAACTACACTTAGGTAATTACTATTGTGAAAGCCAACCTCAGTGCCCTGAAGGGAAGCCTGTGAATTACTAGTGCACCCTAGTAGTGTAAAAATGAAAAAGTGTGGAAAAAGGCACACCTGACTCACCCTGGGTGTGGGCCACCACAAGTGAGGACCACTAAAACACTCCAAAGAAAAAAACTCTGGCAATGCATGGGGGAGCATTACGAGCACAAAGGAAAGGTAACCTTGAGCACATGCAGTTCCAAGCACTTAAAGCCAGGCTCAAACTACAAGACAGTGTAAAAGAGATGCCACCAAAGGCAAAGACCCGATATAACTTGGCAAAACAGTGAAGACAGAGGTGATCCGGGAACCATTCAAGTGACCTTGACGACATCAGTGTAAGAACCGACAGTTCAGACCTCTGGAGGTAGCGAGGCCCTTCCCCCCAAAAAATGAGTGGGGAAGGTGGAGTGAAAGAGCTCATCTAAGTTTCAAGAGATTTGATAATTTGTTTACATAGTTGGGGGAGGTCATTAGGTGGGTTGTGAGGCTTCTGTCTTTTGAACCCAACAGTGGTTTGCTTTGACTCTCAGACTTTCTGGGTGCCTTCCCCAGTGAGGTAGCAAAATGTCACTGCTCCCTGTACCTCTAAGAGAGGCCAGGTCCTAGCTCTAGTCCCTAGGAAGCCTAAAAACTCCATGACTGATACAACCTGGTAGATGGGAACCATCTCGGTGTTGCTTCAGGAAGCCACAAGGAGTTTCCCCCAGAAGATGGCTCAGAAATCCAGCTGGAAGCAATGACTCAACTATCTCCAGCATCAATATGGAATCCCCCAGATCCCCAGAGAATGGAGCTACATCCACAGCTAAATGCAGGCCAGACTCTGAAACCCACAGACATCCAGGAACCTCGGGCAAGGAAGGGAAGGTGTACGAGGGGTCTGCACAACTATGCCAGACACTGGTAACAGCAGAAGCTAACAGCACCAGTCACTCCAACTCCAAAAACCCAAAGATCAAGATGGACCAACTCCAAGGAGACCACTAGAGCATCAAATCACAACATGAAAGGGTAATGAAACCAAAGCAGCAGCGACCTGTGGAACCTCAGTCACTACAAAATCAACAAAACACAAAAGATGGAGAATCTAAGAGTTGAACCATAATAAGCCATATGAAAAACACATGGAGCTTGCCAGGGCCTGAAAGTAAGGTCGAAGTAGAACATCCAGGCACTAGGAATGGTTGCCAAAAGAACTGGCACTGAACACAGCCTTTAAGATAAATATGGCTAAAAAGGACACCAGCAGTGGGCCATATGTAAAAAGTATGCAAGCCCTTAAGAACCCCATAATCAAGAAATCCAAGAATGCTCCAAACCACAGAGCCTCACAGAGATATCAATGACCCTTGCACTGCTCAGAGCTAGGCACCCTACACAGTAGTACGGCTTCTCAAGGACAAACTTCTGAACCCTACAGAAGTCACTTTGTCAGAACAGGGGTAATGTCAAATGAGCATCTAGGGAAGGGCTATCCTAAACACATGCAGCCTAAAGTGAATCATGAAGAAAACATGAAGAAATGTGAAGAAATAACTGAACTTGCAAACACTACACAAAGCAAATGGCTCCCACAGGGAAGAGTCCAAAGGATGGCCTTGGAAAAAAAATGGGACATGCTAAAACTTGCAACTCAAAGAGTATCCCACACTTTGTGGACATCAGCGACATGACTGAGGTCTGGTTTCTGGAAGCTTCCCGTGGTGCCACCTGGTGGAGCCAGCCGTAACTAAGGGGGATAAAAATACAATCATGATCCAAAGGATCAATGAACACATTTAATGCTTTGAGAATCCATACATGATAATGAAGAAGAAGTACTCAATCATTTTTATTTCAGTGTCACATTTAATAAAAAAAATCTCGAATTAATGCCATGCTTAGCAATACTAAGTTAATATGGCAATTTATAAGTACTGAAAATTAACTTCAATGTAAATTTCAAATAGAATTAAGAGTAGATCTACAATAACCAGCTTATGACATGCAGTATAAACATATAACGAACATATTTAAAATGTAAACTATACCACACTGTTATGACACTTTCTTATACCACATTTTCATGATGCTACATTTTCCTATACCACATTAAGACAACATTTGCTTTCTAATACAATATTATTATGACACTAAGCTTCCTAATAACTATAACTAAGAAATAATACATAGCTCTCATCATGTAAACTAATTATAACAAGACCTTGATTTCATATTTTGAAAGTAAATAAATACTCTTCATTTATCATGCTCATAACAAAAGGTAAACAAATAATTTTTTTTTTTTTTTTGAGATATATACAAGAGTTAATACATTCTTGTACTAATGAGATAAAATGAATGAGATAATTATTATTGAGATAAAATAACGAGATCGTGGATCCTGAGTACAATTTATCAGGGAATATGAAAGGAGGTATATTCCCAGTGATGCAATATTGGTAATGAGCTCCAGACAATCATTAGGTTTGAGATTTTCACATCTCTTATAATGCTGAATGAAGCTGTACATGTATTGTACATGTACAATAACATACTTGATGACAAAATTAGAATTTTTCTCTATAGTACAATTTTTATTTATGAAGCTAATTATAAATGATATTATTTATATATGCTAAGCATTATGGTCAAAGATGACAAATTGGCTTAATAAAAGATTACTGCTTATCATTTAATGATATTTTTTTGAAACCATATATTTTGTTAACTACTGGATCTCAATGAAAATTCTCAAATTTTCACAGACTTCTAAAGATTGGAACATTGAAGCAATAAAATAAACAATTTACATTTATTATGTATAAATATACTGTATGTAATTAGTTTAAACTGTACATAATCTTGTTCACTTCCTTTGTCTTTAACCATTTGGTTCATCGTGTGCTGTCCCGTAGTTGGGCAGGAAGCCTGTGAAGCTTATCGAAGTCTCCCTAGTGCAGCTTATCAAGGTCCCCCTTAGTCCAACCTACCGATGGTCTTTCCCAGGATGAAACCCACCATAGTTGCCTAACTCCCAGCTACCTATTTACTGAAAGGTGAACAAAGACATCAGGTGAAAGGAAACATGCAGGATCCTTGGTTGTGAGAAGAGGATGCAGACTCCTCGTCCATCTCTCACCATCCTAAAATATTACATCCAAACTTGGTATTTCCAAAGTTGGCAAGTACCTTAACACTCTTTTTCTAATCAGAACTAAATTCAGCACTCATTATTTCTCAACTCGGTTTCAGGTATCATTCCTACTCTGCTTCCCTGGCACTATGCATGTTAATGGCTCTCTAAACATTAAATTAAACAAATAAGTAAATTACTAATGAGTATTTTACTTGTCACTTTAGAGTTTTGTTTCTGATACACATTCCTTCAATATTGTACAATACAATAAAATCCAAAATGGCTCAAAATGTTCCTCCTGTACATATGTATTTATATTTGAGTTTACATTGTAAAGAGAATCAGAGTCTGGTCCCGATTCTTGGAAGACTCGAGTGGATGTCAGACCATAAGTAGCTGCATCTAACAACCTAGATAGCTAGACCACCAATGAGAAGGCCTTGTCAGAGACTGGACCATGCGGACACTGATTGCCGGAACCATCCGGCAGCCACAAAGTATCCCAGAGGCCTGGTGTGATCTCTACAGCTTGGTAACTACAGTGCTGCAACTTGAGAAGTTACTGTGAGGGACCTCCTAGAGAACACACGAAATGTCTCTTCAACTGTATGTAAATAAAAATATTGGAGGGGAAATTGGACGTGCATGCAGGAAAATAAACATGCTCTAAATACTAGGCTGAGTATTCAAGTACAGTACTTTACACTAATTATTTACAATCATCATGCTTCAAATTAAGAATACTGCCCAAGAAAAACAGCTTTGCTTAAGTACAGAAAATCAAATTACTTGTATGCACATTTTTCTTAAAAACAAAACACAAATTTTCACAAGAAGAACAGCTTGTCACACAACTCTACAGCAGGTTCCTTTTTGACACTCTTACCAATCAGGAAAGCAAGCTTGTGGGCATACTGAAATTAAACATAATAATAATTATTTTTTTTTACCTATAACTGAAGAAACTGACATTAAAAATATTTTTCTTATATTTTACTGCAAACTATAGCATCCAATACAATATATTTTTTATAATATATATTACCTTGAAAATGCCAAACAACAACTCAAGCATTTCAGATAGAACAAGAGAAAGATTCAAAATTAGCATGAAACTCGGTACCGAATGCCACTACCAGGTGGCCCAGCTTCCTTGCCAGTTCTGGAGCTGATGCACACCAACGAACCAATTAACCTGGTGGGGCTGGAGGGAGTCAGGGAACCACTGTAGCTCATCCAGAAAGAGGCGTTTCATTACATTCAATGTGGTTTTTTTCGGGAAGCCCCTGGTGGCTCCTTGTAGCTAAATACTGTAACCACAGAGAACAACAACAGGACTTAGCAGGGAGGAGGAGAGGCAGCAAGCACTCCAGACATAGAAGATACACCAGGCCGGGTGACACGGCCCAAAGCCACTTGACAGACTGGGCCCAGGATCATTTAACCAAATTCCAGGCCATCAGCACCCTGTTAGAATGCTAAAACCATAGCCCAAATATCACCCCAGGATATTTCAGAGAAGTCGGCGGCCAAAGCTGCATATTCACGAATATCAAGGGTAGACCGCAGGCTGGCTAGATTTAATGACATTGCAGACAACCTGCGAAATGCAAGCCTTGGAACAGGAATTCAAGGAAACAGGATCAACCAATAAGGCATCCACTGAGACACAACCAGTGGTACGCAGGTAGAGGTGAAGAGCCGCCATTAAAAAAAAAAAAATGCACCCCTGGCAGAACCAACCAAGCATTGATCAAAAAAGGAGCCCCTGTGGAAGCCTGATGACTCATTCCTAGCCAGAAAAGGAGATGGCAGCAAACTAACAAATCCCCTGTCAGAAACAAAAGAACAAAACCCCCCCACCTCCAGAGAAGAGCCTGAGCCTCCAACAGCAAAACTGCTGTAAGAAAAACATCACGAGCTGAAAGGGAAACAGTAAACCGAGATGAGGAAAAAACCCAGCGTTGAATGTAATGAAACTTCATTTTTTGGGTTTCAGTACAAGGAAACTCAAATACAAGGAAATCCCCATTGTATTTGGGAGTATTCCATGTCTGCCATTGACCGGGGTTAGACACAAAAAAAAAGGTTGGCATTCCAAAACAAACCCAACTTGGTAGGAAATTGCAACTGAAGACCAAAAAGAGAATCAGAACTCCCCCAAAAGGAAACAAGCGTCAGCCACCGTGCCGTTTGTCCGCGCAAATTACCTCCCCTTGGGGAAGCCCAAGATCCCCGTGCCGGCTGCCAACTCTTCAGTTCGAAGACTGAGCATCAAAAGTGAAAACCGCCAACTGGAGGGAGGGAAGGTGCAGGGAGACTCCAAAGCTCACCCAGAAAATGGCATTTCATTACATTCAATGCTGGTTTTCTGTAGGGAGCCCTTTTGGCTCCCTGGAGCTACATAACCAAAGATAAGGAAATGAGGGACTTACCCGGGAGGCGGCAGCACCATGTGCATCAATTCGAAGACCAGACAACTGGCTGCAACTTGCGACCCAAAGCCACACACGATGACTGGAACCAGGAACATTCACCAAATAACAGGTGCCCAGGGGCTCTGTTTAACCTCCAAAACCCCTGTGCCCGAATGTCAACCCAAGACATGTTCCCAAACACAGCAGCCAAAGTAGCATACTTACGAACATCATGGGCACAAGGGAAGACCGCAGGATGACTAGACTTAAAAACACTGCGGACGACCTGAGAGACCCGAGCCCTGGAACAGGGAATGAGGGGAAATTATATCAACCCAAAGCGCGTCCACGGCCACAGAAGCCGAGGGGTGCAGGTAACGGCACAGAGTCACAACCAGACACAACACACAATGCCTGATCTGACCAAGCATCAATAACCCAAGGGCCCCTCCAGAAGCCCGCCATCTCGTTCTTCACCAAAAAAGAAGGAGACAGCTGCAACCAAACAAACCAACTATCAGGACCAAAAGAGCAGAGGCCAATACTAACAGAAACAGAGCCTTCTGAAAGCAATCTTGAACGAAAGGGACCACCAAAAACCAAGGAGAAGAGAAAAAAAGAGAGCACTTGGTCCAAGGACCAGGATGGCTCAAGCAGCGTATAAGCAGGCTGGAGGTGAAACAAAGCCCAAGAAAGCTTATGGAACCGGGTGGAAGTGACATCCACCCCAAATGCAAGCTGGAGCGTCTCTGCCAGCACTGCACGATAAGAGTCGACAGTATTTGGCATAAGATGACGGTCCTGAAAGAGCCAAGATAGAAAGAACAAAACAACCCGAACAGAAACAGAAGACAACCTACGAAGAGAGAGGAAATGGAGAAAAGAACGCTAAGAGATTTCATACTGTCGCCGAGATGATGACTGCAGGTGGGGCACCAGCAATGAAGCCACCTGATCACCATACAAGTGGTGATACACCCACGTCAAAAAGACCAGACGTGAAGAGCGGAGGAGGAGATCGAACCAGGTATGTACCAGACTGGCCTGATCTGCTGGAAGAGGCAGAGCCATGGAAAACATACCGGCTTCGGACACAGAGCAAGCAGCGCCTGAAACCAAGGCTGGGCTGGACACCCTGGGGCCACAAGGACGACTCTCCCGTGGTAAGACTCCAACCGAGTCAAAACCCAAAACAACAGCTGGACCGGGGGGAGAAGAGGTACAGGTATCCCCCACTTCAACCAGTCCAAGTTATACTTGGACTGGTTGAACTTCAAGTTATAAAAATACTTGTTTCATGAATGGTTTATTGTATTAAATGGAGATTCTCTAGCTAGCAATCTACTAAGCTAGCCACCTGGGGGAAGGGAGGGCAGAATAGTGAGGGTGTACTCGCATAGTATACTCACCTAGTTGTGTTTGCGAGGTTGAGCTCTGGCTCTATGATCCCGCCTCTCCTGAGGGAGAAGTGAATCAGGATTTCTCTTACTGGTGAGTGCAAACAAAATACTGTCGTGTTTATGCTATGAACCTGTTGATTGTTTTCCTTAGATTAAAAAAAAAAATTATTTTTTTTTCTTGCCATTTTCCTCCATTTCTCGTTTACAAACTTATACGATAACCGAGGGGTCTCGTCCCCAAGGGGTTCGGAAACCAAGTGGTGCTCTGTATCTGAGAGTGTAATGTCCCTGATTATTTCTTCATCGTTTGTGAAGTTCAGATATAGAATATTTTTGTTCCTAGTTGGCTCAGTATCTGCTGGTTGAGGGAAAATCTGTCACAGAATCAAGTAAATCTCTGACTTTTGGTTGGTAATTTCCAGATAGATTTCCTGATATAATATTATTGTTTGCTATTCTCAATCTTAGACTGGATAGGTTGAAGCCTCCTAGGAAGAAATATATCAGGTAATGGGTTTGCCAGATTATCAAGGCTATTCTCTATTTTGTTGACCAAACCACACACTAGAAATTGAAGAGACAATGATATTTTGGTTCGTCCTGGATCATTATCAAGTCGATTGTGTTTATTTTGTTTATCTGTTCTGTGAATTCTTCAACTGCTGCATCTGGAAGTTTGTTATTAGAATAATAACTAAGTTTATTTTCTTTATTTTTACTCCCAGTACTTTTACCACTTAATTTGTAGAGTTAATTAAATATTAAGGAGCTTTAACCACACAAGATTCTCTCTAATATTCAAACTTATTCCTCCATGAATAAGAAAACATGCTTCTTAATTATTATATTATGGTTTATGCTATCACATCTATATAGTGTGTATTCTGGTATCCAAATCTCATTTTCCATGAATTCTCCTGCAGGAGTTTCTGTGAATGCTTCAAATAGTGCATTAACCTCTGTGAGGAGGCCATTTATGAAGAGTACTTTTTTTTTTTTGCCTTTGTTTTTATTCCTTGTATTTTGGCAAAAATGAGAGAGGTTACTCTATTTGGTGTATGTTGACTGGGAGACTTTTCTAGCAAGTCCATTATGCATTTGAGTTTAATTCTCTGAACTTTTGTCTCATTCTTATACAGTATAAACATTCTTTTGTCTCAATATTGGATTTGTTCTGACCAGTATTGGTTGTTGCACTGTTGTTGTCTGTCGCAACTGCAGCTCTGAGTCCCCAACCCTGTTTGGGATTCAATTCAATTCTACTGGGAGCAAAGCCAGAACCTGGGCCCCCCCTCACCAGAGGTGCAGGGAGCATGTCTCACACTGCCACCTTACTAGGGAAGGCTCCCAAGAAATCAGTGAACTAATACAAACCACTACTGGGTTCAAAAGATACCTATGCCTCACAACTCTTCCCACCAATCACAATTGCATGATGTATCAATGAAAATAATTTTGAGGCAATGGAGTGACTTGGACTAGTGTTCTGGCGATTCCCAGACCTTGTTGGGCCTTAATCAACTCGGTCATGTTGGGCCAAAAGTTGACCAACCCGGAACTCTACTAAATTCACTGGGGGGGGGGGGGGGGGGGGGGGGGGGGGGGTTCTGGAGGTGTCTGGGAATCACCAGAATGCTGGTTCAAGTTACTCCATTGCCTCAAAATGATTTTCATTGATACATCTCACCATTGTGATTTCACTGTAAGAATGTGACCACCATTACTGCAGGCCAGAGTGGGCGGGTTGACTAAAATCCTGGTTGGGCTCCAGTTCAGGGTCTCTATAACTGAAGGCCCAGAACTCCATGCCCATGTGCCTTTGCTGTTGGCAGCCCTCTTTGCAGAAGACTGATTCTTACCCTTCTCTTATTCTTACCTTTTTTCTCTTACCTGCTCCTCACCTCTCATCTCTCTCTGTTACCTTATTTATTTGCCTCTTTCCTCCTCTCTTCTATCACACAGGACAAAAACGTTGTCGTTACTTCATTTTCTAATACAGTGACACCTTGGCTTACGAATGCCACTCTTTACAAACTTTTCAGGTTACGAGCTCAATTTCTTCAGAAAATACGAATAGGGTAACGAACTTTTGTTGGTAACCCGATTCCTGAGTTTTCCTGGGGCAAACGAGTTTGTTGATACGAGGATGGGCCGACCTAGCATGTGGTGGCATGGCGATCGTGCCTCAGTTTACCAGTACCTCCCGCCTAGTGAGTATTGTGCCTGAATTCTTTGCAAAGATTTACAGTTTTTTTTAGGATTTTTTCCTATTTGAACAAAATTTGTTATTATATAACTAGCCATGGGTCCCAAGAAAGCCAGTGGTAAGGTTCAAGCCAAGAAAACACATGTGAGAATGACCATAGAAGAAAAACAAGCGATCATTCGTAAACATGAAAATGGTACAGGGGGTTGTTGAACTAGCTAGGCAGTACAACAATTCTTCAGGGGGAGAGGAGGAGGAGGAGGCAGCAATAGAGGATGTCCCTTCCTCATTAATTAAGAAAATATGTGCAGTATGGGAAGAACTGCAAAGGTTTGCTGAAAAGAATCACCCAGATAAAGCTTTAGCAGGCTGTTGCATTGATCTAATTAATGACAATGTGATGTCTCACTACAGACAAGTGTTAGAAAGAAGGGAAAAACAATTTTCAATGGAACGTTTCTAGTGAGAAAAACAAGCAGTGAGCCACAAGCAGGTCCTAGTGATATGCAGGCAAAACGTGCCAGAGAGTGTACCCCAGAGAAGTCATCACTGCCTGATGTTATAAAGGAAGGGGACTCCCTTTCCAAACAGTAGCACCACTCCTCACCGTCTTCCATTCGCCAACAGGAGTTGTCAGTAAAGGCAAGTAATAAACTGTACATACTTTTGTAGTGAAAATTTGGGTGAATTAGGTATAAAATTTACTTTTGAGTTAATTTTTTGGGGAGTCTGGAATGGATTAATTAATTTTCCATTTTTCTTATGGGGAAATTCACTTTGGTTTACGAATTTTTGGGTTACGAGCCGTCTCTAGGAACGGATTAAATTCGTAAGCTGAGGTACCCCTGTATGTGGTTTGATCTTCATACAATTTTCTTAACACTTTCACGCACCCAGCATGCGCGCCGCAAACTTAGAGGTTATGCCCTCGGCGACACCGAAAATTGTATACTCGTTTCAGTTTTTTCACCTTAATTCTCGTGCTACGTCATTCGTTTTGGTATCATTTTGTTCACAATAGATTTCCCTACAGGTGCATATGCATATAATGTTCAAAAACCCAGCATGACTCCCAACAAAGAATTTGAGGTTTTCACAACAAGCTTCTTAGTTTTAATATCCTATTGCACAACACTTTTGTATAAAGTCAATTGTTCCTTACAATTTTCCCAGAACTGACTTTAGTCCTTGCTGCCATGGTGAATTAGTGATAATATCTTTCTGTGCAGACTGCATATAAAAGAGTGGCATTGACTATGATAAATAATTTTCTATCTAAACAAATTTACATAGAACAATGTGTACTGTACTGATTACAATTTAAGTGCTATGGGAACAACGAATAAGACAAAAGTTCAGAGAATGAAACTCAAGTGCTGACCTGACAGGGAGCTGGGACTCGTATAGTGCCTGGCCAGTTGTAGTACAAGTGAGTCAGCTTGTAAGTCAGCCGCTGCATGTTGTCAACTTTCAAGTTTCCTCCATCATGAACAACAACATAATGGGTAGGAGAAACTGTACCCTGATAAAAACACAGAGAAAAATAGATTAAGTGATTTAATCCTCTTCTAAAACTCACTATCATTTAATTTGCCAAAAAATATTGATATTGCATGTCAAATATGCTTCACCAAAAGAGGTTTAAAACAGGACAAGACTAATAAATTAACAAAAATATAAAAAAATAACAAATCAGTTTAAACTGCAGAAGCAGCAACTATGACTTAATTTACTTTTAATGCAAATTTTTGGTCAAGACTATTAAATCATCTATTCCCTGTACCACTTGTATGATATAATAATCTTAAAATGTATTATTCTTATTAAATATGCTAAAAAGATATTACTGGTGTTGTAATTACTGTATTTAAATGTGATATAGGAAACAGAATTATTAGTAGAATACCAAGTTAGGGGATACAAATTATTTCATACTTAGACAAATTAGAATAGGACTAGCAGCAGCAATATATGCCAGAGAAAATTTAATATAATGTATATAGTGTTGTCAAATAGGGAATTAAAACTGTGCCACATACAAAAACAATTTGGATTGAATTAAATGAAAATAATAATAGCCTAATATTAAGAGTGGTACACAGGCAACGGTGGGCACCCATTTCTCAAAAAACCAGCGTTGAATGTAATGAAACACCATTTTCTGGGTGAGTCCCGGAGGCTCCCCGGAGCTTTCTAGGCTGATATGCTAATGTCAGACTTTGGCATCAGTCATGTGTATGGAGTTCTTATGGGCCTACTGAGGACCACAAGCCAGAACCTGGTCCCCCTCTAGAGAGGCAAGGGAAGCAATGGCCTATAGAAACCCCCGTGTAATTGGAAGCATTCTATGTCTACCATCGACCGGGTGAGGCACCCAGAAAAGTAGGCGTCCCAAAACAAACCCCTATTCTGGTGAAAATTGCAACCAAAAGCCGAACGTGTGGATAGAACTCCCCAACAAAAAACGAGCAAACTAGTATGACGTCATTCGTCGTTGCGCCGCTGTCTGCGCAATCCCCCCTCCCTGGGAGGGGGAAGGGGTAACCCCAGATCTACCGCGCCGGTGATCCACACCCCAGTTCTGAGGCTGGATGTCAAAAACACGGGAAAAAAACGCCGACTGGAGGGAGGGAGGGAGGGATGCTGGGGAGCCTCCGGAACTCACCCAGAAAATGGCATTTTATTACATTCAACGCTGGTTTTCTGGGGGTAGCCCCTACGGCTCAACGGAGCTAACTACTCACAGAGGAAAGAATAGGGACTTACCCGGGAGGCGGTTGCTGCTCACTCCTCAACCCGAAGTCGAGACAACTGGCTGCATCCGCCGACCCAAAGCGACACTGGCCCGAATGGGCCCAGGAAAGTTTACAAGGTAACGAGCAGCCAGGACCCTGTTCGACCGCCAAAATCTCCGTGCCCGAATGTCAGCCCAGGACATATTGCCAAAGACGGCGGCAAGAGCCGCGAACTTGCGGACGTCATGGGCACAGGGATAGACCGCAGGCTGGCTAGCCTTAACACTTTGGCGTACCCCGCGCGCCACCCCTCAACTGTGCGATATGGGACCCAGGGTGTCACGGGAGCGCGCGTAAATTCTGAAAAGTGTATACTCTCTTCAACTTTGTCACCTTAATTCTCGTCCTACAAGATTAAATTTTGTATCATTGTGTTCGCAATAGAATTCTCTACAGCACTAAATGCATATAAACTCCAAAAGCCCGGCTAACTACCCGCAGCAAACAGAGAAAGTGCGAATGAGTTACCCAGGAGCGCGCAAACGCAATAAAATGTTTTCACTATTTTCACTCTGGTCACCTCAATTTTCGTCCTAGGTCTTTCATTTTGGTCTCAATGGGTTCACAATAGAATTCTCTAGAGGAACATTAGCATATAAAATAAAAAACCTGGTCACGCTTCAACCGCCGACGAGTTGAAGACGGGCCAAGCGTTAGCCGCAAGTGAGCGCTCAGACGCCTTCCTGCTACACTCCCAATTCCCGCCCTTTTCAAGCCTTTCTTTTGCAATTTTCTTCCTGGAAGGGCCTTGTTCATGATCACTATCCATCGTGGAGTAAGCGTAGATAGTTTCTAAAGCCACAGTAAGAAATATAGCCACGGAAAATAGCCGAAATGTTCACACGTTTGAGATGCGAGGGGAGGCGACATTGGTCACAACAGTGGAGCGAAAACAATGGGCCCATGGCGTGTGCCAAGCCGCCTGAGGGTCACGAGGCTCAACAAAGAAAATGGGAAGACATCGGCGCGCATTTTAAAACCAGTCCCCCCAAAATTGGATAAAAACCTGATTTTTGGCGATTATTTAAAGTGGATGACGCAATGCTGCGTCATCCCCGGCATTACCGACAGTAAACGGATGACGCAATGCTGCGTCATGCCCGGGCGAAAGTGTTTAATAACCCTGCGGACGACCTGGGATACCCGTACCCTCGAACAGGGAAGAAGGGAAACCGGATCAACCCAAAGCGCATCCACGGTCACAGAAGTCGTGTTGCGCAAATAACGGTGGAGAGCTGCAATCGGACACAAAACATGATGCACCTCCGGCCGAACCAACCAAGCATCAACAACCCAAGGGCCCCTCCGGAACGCAGCAGTCTCATTCTTCGCCAGAAAAGAAGAAGGCTGCAGACAAATAAAAAGATCACCCTGACTGAAGGAGCAGAAACCTGTGTTGGAGGAGAGCATGAAGCTCATCCACCCGACCCCCAGAGGCCAATGCCAACAGGAAAAGAGCCTTCGAAAAACAATCCGGAACCGAAGGGGCCACAACAAAACGAGGAGAGGAAAGAAAAGAGAGCACTCTGTCCAAAGACCAGGACAGCTCAGGCGGCGCATGAGAAGGCCGGAGGTAAAACAATGCCCGGGACAGCTTGCGAAACGGCGCAGACGTGACATCAATACCGAAAGCGAGTTGAAGCGGCTCCGCCAGCGAGCACGATACAAGGAGACAGTGTTAGGCATAAGAAGACAGTCCTGGAACAACCAAGAGAGAAAGGACAACACCACCCTAACAGAAAGCAAAGATCAACGACGAAGACGTAAGAAGAACTGGAAGGAAAGCCAGGAAACTTCATACTGCAGCCGAGACGAAGCCCACAGGTGGGACACTTATAAGGAAGCCACCTGATCACCATAGAAATGATGATAAACTCGAGTCAAAAATACCATAAGCGAAGACTCGAGGAGAAGATCGAACCAGCCATGTGACGTACCGGGCCGATCTGTTGGAAGAGGCGGAGCCGCGAAAAAACCTCCGGGTTCAGACACCGAACAAGCAGCGCCTGAAACCCCGACTGGGCCGGCCACCAAGGGGCCAAGAGGACAACTCTGCCCTGGTAAGTCTCTAAATGAGTCAGGACCTGGAGCAACAGCTGAACCGGGGAAAAGAGGTACAGGAACCCCCCACCTCGACCAGTCCTGCCGAGAGGCGTCGATCCCGACGGCCTCGCAGTCGGGAAAGGGCGCCACATACAGGGGCAAGGCGCCGCAAGCACGCCAACGCGAAGAGGTCCACCTCGGGGCATCCGAGTGTCTGCCTAAGCCAACGGAAGAAGTCGGTGTCAACCGTTGATTCCGTGGAGAGGGGGAACGAAATGAGACAGACCGTTGTCTAAGATGTTGGACACACCCCGCACGTGAACTGCCAGGAGAGCCTAACCCCGAGAACTCAGCAGACGAGTCACCCAAAGCGACTAGCGCCAAAGAGCCAAGGACCGCATCGAACCCCCCCAGTTCAGACAATGAATCACCGGGAAGCAGTCCGAATGGAGCCGGATCGTCGACCGACTCGAATCCTCCGAAGAGTAACCCACACCACCACGAACTCCCGCACAGTGCTGTGGGCTCGACGGAAGAACGGACCCCACCGACCCTGGCCGGCCTGGTGAGCACTGGTCACAAAGTCCCAGCCGAGAGACGACGTGTCCGTGAACACATCGAGCGAGGGCTCGGGTAGGCACCACGGCACTGAACCCACGAAAAACCCGAAGAGGAAGCCAGTGATGCAGCAACCGACACAAAGCCCCCGGGGTCCTAACCCAGCGATCCCGAGAGAGGCGGAAGGGATGTCCCCGAAGGAACCAGAACAGCCGACGAAGCCAAACCCGACCCGGCGGGTAGACCAGCATCTCGAAGTTCAGGCTCCTGCACAGACCCTCGAGCAACCACCGGGTGACCTGGGAGCCCCCAGAAACAAGCACAAGCGGGACCGCAGCTGCAGAAGAGACTCGGACTTCCTCCAGTTCACCAAGAACTCGAACCCAGCGACCTGGGAAAGAACCAAATCCCTGGCTAGCAAGCAAGCTGACCGGCTGGGAGCCCAAACCAGCCAGTCGTCAAGGTAGGCCAACACCCGAACACCTAGGAGACGCAAACGAGCCACCACAACCCGTGTAAGGCGCGTGAACACGCGAGGTGCCAGGTTCAACCCGAACGGGAGACAACGAAAGCGGTAACTCAGACGCCAGTCCCTGAACTGTGGATGAATCGGGACATGCCAATAAGCGTCTCAGAGGTCCAGGGACACCATCCAAGCGCCCGGCTCCATGAGGAGCCGAACCTGAGACAGCGTAGTCATCCGAAAGGAGGGGCAATGAACCCAGGGGTTCAGACGGGACAAGTTCAGAATGAACCGCAGGTTCGCGCAGTCCCGTTTCGGGACTGGAAACAGACGGGAAACCCATCTGAGGGACATCGTCGTTTCGACCACGACCAAGCGAACTCACTCCAAGATGACCTGACAGAGCGCAGGGGAAGAAGCCTGCCCTGCCAGCCCCGAACCCCATGCAGGGGGAGGGGCCACCCAACGCCACCGGAGCCCGTGCGAAACGACCCAAAACGCCCACAAATTGTGGGACCCGGCGTGAGCGAACAGCGCAAGGCTTCCCCCCATCGCCCCGTCAATGGGGCAAACCGCAAAAGGGCCCGGCGCCCCTTACGAGACCCAGAACCTCGCACAGAGCGAACACCGTGCCGACCAGACGAAGGCGGGTCCGAAGGAGTCGCCGAACCCAAACCTGACACCAGTGGCCTACCACGATTCCACAGTGGAGGCAAGCACTGCCTGCCAATACACGAGCCGGGAGGCATAAAACAGAGCCACCGCATCCAGCAAGATCGGCGCGAAAAGCTTCAGCATGGCAGCCGACAAGCGAGCCGCCAAGGTGCCAGACCCCGGAACAGCCCCAAGTGGCCCCACATCCTCCGTGAGCCAGTCAGAAGACAGCTCAAGGAGGAAAAAGAAGCGCAAGGCCGCAACCAAAAGGCCCGGAGCATGCAAGTCCTCTGCCACCTGCGCCACCGAAAGGAGGGGAACCTGCACACGGAGCTGAATGACACCAAGATCCTGGGGAAGGGCAGGAGCAAACATGCATTCATTGAGGTGCTCAAGGTCACAGCCCCAGGAAATCCTGAAGCACCGTCGAAGCCTCCTGCCACTCAAGCATGCAGGAATGGCAGAAGGAGTGCTAAGCCTCGTAGGCAAGGACAGGACAGTCCGCCAGCCAGGACGACTCCGGAACCTTGTAATGGAGCTAGAAAGGGAACGAAGTCCCAAACCTGAAAGCCGAGGGATCCATTGCTGAGGCATAATCCGATTCACACAGGAGGTTCACTGCAAGGGCAGCCCGCACCACAGCAGGTTGGATGCGATAAGCCAAGAACCTCCGGAAAGACGGAACCGAAGCCCCCGAGGGAACATGGAACCAAAGCCCCTGGCTTTGGAACGTGTTCCACGTGTTGGCCATGGAACCGAACCAGGGGAGGGGCAGACACCAAATCCAACTCGTACGCAGAGGGGGAAAAAGAAAACCCCACTCCTTGCAACAGTAAGCCCAACTCAGAGGGTATAAAAACCCAGGCGGGGTCCAGTGGGCCCCAAGGCCCCCAACTCAGCCCCTCCCCAGCCCCAGGTTCCTCTCCAGCAGGACCCGGGGCCGAGTCCTCCCCCCCAAGCACCGACCCCACTAGACAAGGCCGGCGCAGTCGTAGAAGCCGGATAGAATGAGGCCCACTGGTCAGACCCAGAGGCTTCGGCCGGAGGAGGAGACTTGAATGCCTCCGTCGCCACACCGGAAGGGGCATCCCCCGAGGCTGCCCGAGTCTCAAGACCAACTAACCCCTGCCCCGACTCTGAAACCCTCAGACGTTTCGGGGCCGGAAGCCGGGGAGGGGGACCAGAACGAACAACAGGAAGGGAAGAACCAGGATGTGCGGACTGAACCAGGGTCGAAGCGACCCCCACCCCCATGTCCGGGTCCCTATAAGCAAAACGGGGCAGCCGCGAGGCATCCAGGTGAACAACCAACCTAGCTCGTTGCAACAACCGAAACCTAGAATGCAATGCCTATGCAGCCTGTACCCGAAGATCATCATCCATAGACTGGGTAAATTGAGTCGCTAGCAAGTAACAATACTCACAGGACTCAGGGTTGAAAGTGTCACCGACCCAACAGGCTGCATGACGGAGGCAAAAACAGTGAGGGTCACCCTGAGACAAGGGGACCGAACAACCCTCAAACTCGCACGAAGCGAGGGGGGGACCCCGGGGTTACATCCATCGGACCCACGCGTCCCCTAGGGGACTCCCAGGGGTCCTGAGCGTTTACTTGAAGAGGACTCACGCTCAGATAAACCCAGGCATGGTACTGCTAACCGGCGCCCATAACTATCAAACAAACTGTCTAAAGCTGAACCCCAGGGACATGTAGACTCACGAGGACCAAGCAGGGGGCACCACCATGTATCAGAGTGAGGCCAAACACCAGTGGCAATTAGGGCAGAACCCCCCCCCCCCCACCAAGGCAAAAATAAAAACAAAACCCCGCAAGAGGACAACGTACCCCAAGGAACAGAGCCGGCTGCTGTGATAGGTGACAACTAGCTGCACAGCACCCTGCGCCCCTACCAGTGCGAAAACTGCCTCTGAACCTAAGGTTAACTAGAGGAGACAAAACCCCCAAGTACCCAAAGAGCGGCCGAGAAACTGAGCAGTAAAACGAACACACAGAGGCAGATCCCAAGGAACTTGTGGAAGGTAACCCCAAGCTCCAAGGGCAGTACTTACAAGGCACCTAGGGAAGGGAACCCTAGGCGCATACAGCCCGAGTACTGAGGAATAACTCCTGGCTCTCGCACCCCTGGAGAACAGCAGCCATACACAAGGCACAGCGCCGCAAAAAGACTGGAGCCAGAGCATACAACCGAGCCGATAGCATCAGCTTCAAGAACTGGGGTGTGGATCGCCAACGCAGTAGGTCTGGGGCTGCCCCTTCCCCCTCTCGGGGAGGGGGGGCTGCGCAGACAGTGGCGCGACGACGAATGACATCATACTAGTTTGCTCGTTTTGTGTTGGGGAGTTCTATCCACTCGTTTGGCTTTTGGTTGCAATTTTCACCAGAATAGGGGTTTGTTTTGGGAAGCCTACCTTTCTGGGTGCCTAACCCAGTCAATGGTAGACATAGAATGCTTCCAATTACATGGGGGTTTCAATAGGCCATTGTTCCCCTTGCCTCTCTAGAGGGGGCCAGGTTTTGGCTTGTGGTCCCCGGTAGGGCCATAAGAACTCCATACACATACACATGACTGATGCCAAAGTCTGACATTAGCATATCAGCCTAGTAAGCTCCGGGGAGCCGTAGGGGCTCCCCCCAGAAAAAGAACTGATGGTCCTGGTCTTGGTCTATGCCTCAAAAGGGAACTGACGATCCCAGTCACAGTCTTTTCAGAAGGAAAGAGCTATGACCAACTCAGTCTTTGGTCCTTCCATTAAATATAAGTGAAATATTTATTTTAATTAAATATGCAATTAAAGACACTGGAAATCATTAATATTTAATTACATAAAGTAAACTTAAGTAAAATTCCAAATAATACTTTAGAAACAAAATTAATTCATTTGGTTAATACTTATCAGAAAGTAATATAATCAGACAGAATTTTACAGCAGGATAAGAAAATTGAGAGCTTGACTGACAAGGTAAGGGAACAGAAAGGATACATCAAGGAACTAGAGAAAGAGCATAAGACATGGAAAAGGAAGGGGGAACAAATTTGATGAGGTTAATAGGAAAATAGATAACTTTTGAGTTGATTTCAATGCAACTCTACTAGCTAGCAAAACAAAATAGTTAAGCAATGATATGCCGAGGGAAAATTCGTGGGCAGCTCAATTAGAGGTTAGGTTAGGTTATTGGAAAAGTATAAAAAGAAAGTGAAAGAAACATGGACAAGTTATGAAAGAGAAACAATCAAAGATGTATGTTTGGAAGTCAAAAACAGAAATAGACAACAAGAAACAGACATTATGCAAGCAATTAGGAAAGTGTTGAAGCACAAAAGACTGCAGATAGAAGTCTATAATAATTTTTGGGTGTTTGGAAAAGGAGATACTGTATCATCTATGGTATATAGAGCACCAGAAGAATTAAAAGTCAACGATAAAATAGTAGGTTTAGTATGTTAGCACTTTTCAGAGAAAAGATTAATACGAAAAAACCATGTAATGGTTTGAATGTAATGAAATGCCATTTTCTGGGTGAGCCCCGGAGGTTTCCTGGAGCTATCAGGGTGAAATGTAATATATTAGTCTGGGGGCATCAGTCAATTGGAGTTCAGCCTACCGGGAATCACGATCTAGAACCTGGCCCCCTCAGAGAGGCAAAGGGAGCAATGGCCTACAGAAACCAGTCATCCAGTTCGGAGGCTGAGAATCAAAAAGGACACGGAACAGCTGACTGGAGGGAAGGAGGGTTGCCAGGAAGCCTCCGAGGCTCACCCAGAAAATGGCAAGATTGACAAATGGCACATTGACAAGATACCAGGCCACCAGAACCCTTGTACTCAAATATCAGTCCAGAACATATTTGCAACAACAGCCAAGAACGTGGCATATTTCCAAAAGTCTTGGGTGCGAGGGTAGACTGCAGCCGGGCTAAAACTTAATTACATTATGGACGACCTGTGAAAGACAAGCTTTGGAACATGAACCAAGATGACAGGATCAACCCACAAGGCATCCACCGAGGCAGAAGCAGTGGCACAAAGGTAGCGACGAAGAGCCGCCACCAAACACAGCACATGCTGCACCCCCCCAAGCATCAACCACTAAATTGGCAATTTAACATACCAAGACAACATGGCAAAATGCATTTTATTGATGACTTACCTGTCTTACATGTTGAGAGACAAGAAGGAAATCATACCAATACCGGCGTGTAATTGAATGATCAATAATAGAGCCTGGAGGAGGATTGTCCAGCCCTCTAGAACTCTGAAACAATAAATAATGTGTAAAACACCTTAAAACAAACTATGTCATCCCACCAAAAACTTCACTCATCATTCTAGCTTTAATGGATTTACAACCCATCTCAACACAACCATGCTTGTAATACCACACCCTACCATCTACTGTTGGTAGGGCACAAATGCTCACATTTTGTACAATGTGAGCATTTGTGCCGCAGAACATAAATTTTAAAGGACTCACAATTTTAGGTTCACTTTAAACTTAACCTTTCCATATATATCAGTCAACATGAAAATAACAAGACATTACTAATAAGAACTCACCATAGTACTGAAGATCCTAGTATTGAGTCTCTTTTGGACAATAATTAAGTATAATTTAGGTTCATAAGATTGAAAGTTGTGAAAGATGGAGGCCAGTTGAGGGAGCTCATGGTCTTCAACAAGTTTCAGCTGACCATCGCTTACACCATCCCGATACATCATTATAGAACGAGGTAGCGTGTGATGCAGCTGAAGAAGAACATTTGATTAGTGAAAAATGGATTCAAAATCATGGCAAGTAAAAGATGACAAGTAGAAAACCTAAGAAAAAACCAGCGTTGAATGTAATGAAACGCCATTTTCTGAGTGAGTCCTGGAGGCACCCTGGAGTTGTTGAGGCTGAATGGATATACAGTATGTAACTTTCTGGTATCAGTCAATGCATGGAGTTCTTGCCTACCGAGGACCACGAGTCAGAATCTGGCCCCCACTAGAGAGGCGCGAGGAGCAATAGCCTATAGAGACCCCCCTGTGGTTGGGAGCATTCTATGTCTGCCATCGACCGGGATAGGCACCCAGAAAGGTAGGCGCACCAAAACAAACCCCTATTCTGGTAAAACTATTGCGACTGAAGGCCAAACAAGTGGACAGAACTCCCTAATCGAAAATTAGCACGAGCATGACGTCGTCATGTCGCCGCTCCGCTGTCTGCGCAACCCCCCCTCCGCGGGAGGGGAAAGGGGGAGCCCCAGACCCACTCGCCGGCAACTCAACCTTCAGTTCTTAGGCTGGATGTCAAAAACCACAAAAAACACCACCGACGGGAGGGAGGGAGGAATGCCGGGGAGCCTCGGGGACTCACCCAGAAAATGGTGTTTCATTACATTCAACGCTGGTTTTCTGGGGGGGAGCCACGTCGACTCCCCGGAGCTACCTCACCACAGATAAGGAAAAGAGGGAAGGATCCGGGAGGCGAATGCCACATGCCCTAACATAAAAACAAGACCACAGACGAAACGAAAAGACCTTGCAGATGACCCGTGAGACCCGAACCCCAGAACAGGAAGGAGGGACGAAAGGGAACTCGGGCAAATCAACATGCGTCCACGGCCCCAGAGGCCAAGACGCTCAGAGAACAGCGAAGAGCCGCAACCGAACAACAAAACAAGCACCCCTGGCCTGACTAAGCAAGCAGCAACCCAAGGACTCCTTCGGAAAGCAGCAGACCTAAACATTACCGGAAAAGAAGGAGACTGCACCAAACGATCAACCAATCACGAGGACCAAACAAGGCAGAAAAACACAGGCGTCGGAGGAGAGCCGGAAACTTCTTGACCAGACCCTAGAGGTCAACACCAACAAAAGAAGGAGACCTGAAAAACAAAAGAAAAACACACCAGAACCGAAGGGACCACAACAAACCAAGGAGAAGAAAGAAAATGACCACCTGAGCCAACGACCAGGAAGGCACTGAAAGCGCCAGAGCAGGCCGGAGGTGAAACAGCAAGCAGAACGGAGCAGAAGGAACAGCAACACCGAACGCAAGCCAGAGCGGCTCCACCAGCACCACCCAAGACAAGGCGACAGTACACAGCACCAGATGATGGTCCCGGAACAACCCCAAAGGGAAAGACAACCCTATCAGAGCCCGAGGAACCCTTCGCAGTGATAGGAAAACCGGAAGGACCGCCAGGAAATTAAACACTGCCACCGAGATGAAGCATGCAGGAGGGAGACCAGCGACGACGCCACCAGCAAGACAAAAACCCGAGATGTAACGACTCGAAGGGAAGAATGAACCAGTTGTGTACAGGGCTAGAATGATCCATAAAAAGTGGCGGAGCTGCGGTAAGCCCCTCAGGATTGAAAACAGAGTAAAGCAGCGCCCCCAACCAAAGCTGGCAAAACCAGAAGGAATGGCCGCCAGGGAACCAGGAACCCAATCCCACCGAGTCGAAAAGGAACCAACCCAGGCGAGCAGACACGCCTCGTCTGGGAGGAACCCCACCAGGACCCCTGAAGGACCAACAAGGCCAAACACCAAAGAGGCAGGGGGCCCACGCAGAGGCCAACGAGCACCATAAACTAAAGTGTGAGACGCGAAGCGAAAAACAGCTTCGTCCCAGAGAAGGAACAAAGAAAAGCCGTAGCCAGGACCGGAATCCTAGCTACCCGTCCCAAGAAAAGGAACCAGTAAGGCAGGAGCAGTGACCGGAAGTCAACATCCACCCACAGATATTGCAACACAGAAGCCAGCAGTGAGATACAGGGAAAAAGTGAAAGAACTCAGTACCAAAACTGAACACTGGGGTAGTCCAAAATCAGGGAACTGAACATGTCACCCCACCCCAGCACCTAACAACAGTAAAGCCAATAAGCAACGACCATGATACACAGCCAAATCCAGCATAGAGGGAGAAAAAATAGAAATAGGCAAGGAAAAGACTGGAAGACGGACCAAAGAGCAGCCGGTAACGCAACGTACACGACCAACCGTAACATGTGGTGTGGGTGGATGCACATACATATTGAGGGACACCATGGATATCAGGGTGCAGCCAGGCACCGAAGATAGGCAAGGAAGGAATGCCCAGAGATCAGAGACCGAGTCAAGGAAGGAGGACACAAAGCACGGATCGGGGGACCGAAGGAGTATCCAAATATCGAGAAAAGACCCCAGGCGCCAAAAAACCAGCATTGAATGTAATGAAACGCCATTTTCTAGGTGAGTCCTGGAGGCTTCCCGGAGCTTACTAGGCTGATATGCCAATGTCAGACTTTGGCATAAGTCATGTGTATGGAGTTCTATGGGCCTACTGGGGACCACGAGTCAGAACCTGGCCCCCTCAGAAGAAGCAAGGGGAGCAATGACCTATAGAAACCCCTGTGTGGTTGGAAGCATTCTATGTCTGCCATCGACTGGGTTAGGCACCCAGAAAGGTAAGTGTCCCCCAAAAAATCCCATTCTGGTGAAAATTGCTACCACAAACCGAACAAGTGGATAGAACTCCCCTAAAATAAACGAGTAAACAATCATAACGTCACACCAGAACCCTGCTCGACCGTAAAAAACCCGCACCCGAATGACAGCCCAGGACACGTTGCTAACAGCGGCAAAAACAGCTGCGAACTTGCGAACATGGACACGGGGAGAGACCGCAGGCTGGCTAGCCGTAAGAATCCTGTGGACGACCTGAGAGACCTGCACCCGCAAACAGAGGAGGGAAACTGGATCAACCCAAAGTGCGACCCAGGACACAGAAGCCGTGGCGCGCAATGAACAGTGGAGGCTCACCACCGGACACCAAACATGATGCACCCCCAGCCAAACCAACCAAGCATCAACAACCCAAGGACCCGTCCGGAAAGCAGGCATCTCATTCACCACCAGAAAAGAAGGAGACTGCTGCAACGAACAACCCCATCGCCATGACTAAAGGAGCAGAAAACTCCTGCGCCGGAGGAGAACAGGAAGCTTACCAACCCGACCTCCAGAAGCCAAGGCCAACAGAAAAAGAGCCTTGGAGAAACAATCCGGAACCAAAGGGGCCACAACAAACCGAGGAGAAGATAAGAGAGCACTCTGTCCAATGATCAGGACCGCTCAGGCGGCATATGAGCAGGCTGGAGGTGAAACAACGCCCTAAGCAGCATGCTAAACAGAGCAAACGTAACCTCAATACCGAAAGCAAGCTGAAGCGGCTCCGCTAGCATCGCACGATACGAGGCAACAGTATGTGGCAAAATGACGGACCCGAATCCCCAAAAGAGAAGGACAAGACCACGCCAACAAAACACAGAACTGAAGAAGGGACATAAGGAAAAAAGGAAGGACTGCCAAAAACCCCCACACTGCCGCCAGGAAGAACACAGGTGGGACACCATCAACGAAGCCACCTAACCAACAGAAAGTGAGAGACCCGAGAAGATTTCGGGTGCGACCACCGAGCCAGAAGAGCCGGAAAACCGAGCCGGCAAAGAAGGAGGTGGAACGTCTGCCGTACAAAAACGTCCTAACACCAGCGAGCTCGCCAAGAGGTCTGAGACCATGGCCCCAACTGAGTCTCTAGGGAAGGGACCCCGTGAGACGCAGAAAATGCCAACAGGCAGGGAAAGCCAGGAACCAGAAAACCAAACCTGGCAATCGGAGAGTCAAAAGGCACAGCAATAACACAGTTGGTGATCATGTCCCAACACAAGACCAAAATGAAAAAGTGCAAGGGTCGCCACGAGACCGTCATCTGAACCGAGGGGTATGAGCGAAGATGAGAGCCACACACCCCCCCCAGGCGGCCCATGCCACCCCAAGTGACTACCACACCAGCGAGCATAAGAACAACTGCCGATGCAACCGTGGACATCCTCGAGAGAAAAATAGATAGTTGTCTCCAAGGAGTGCTGGACCAACCGGGCTGTGGTGAGTATGCGGGCCCACGGGCTGTCCCAAGCAACAGCCTGGTGGACCAACTCCCACAAGCCAAGCCTGGCCATGGGCCGGGCTTCGGGAGAAGAACTCCCAAAACCCCATCAAGCAGGTATCAAGCAGACAATAGGAAGGAGACTGCACGAAACTGGGAGACAAAAGAACCAGAGGGGACAACACCACCACAAGCAAGACCCCCCAGAGGAAGAGGGTAGATAAAGACGTCCCAGGGGACACAGGTGGAACGGATGCCCAAGGACCAGGAGAGATCACAAAGGACTCTATTGTCAGGAGGAGACAAATGGAAAGCAGGAAGAAGGGATGAGCTGGAGGCCAACCCCCCACACAGCATCAAGCGGAGAGACGACAGAGTCGAGCAGGCTCAGCAAGCCGTACAGAAGTCGAATGACAGGTGAGAGGAGAGACCAGAAACCGGCACCCACGTCTACCAAACAAACTTCTAAAGCTGAACCCCCAGGACGTGTCCACTGACGGGGACCAAGCAGGGAGGACCACCAAACCCAGAAATATAGATATATATACCCCAAGAACAGAGATGGGGGACCACAAAGGCAGACCCCCACCAGGCAAAAAAACAGCGTTGAATGTAATGAAACGCCATTTTCTGGGTGAGCCCCAGAGGCTCCCCTGGAGCTTATCGGGCTAATGTATGTTATGTTAGACTGGGACATTAGCTATGAAATTCAGACCTACCAGTGACCAGTGCCAGAACCTGGCCCCTTCAGAGAGGTTTCAGGGAGCAATGGCCCTGGAAAACCCCATTATGGTTGGGGTTTCCCTTATCTGCCATCAACAGGGGTCAGGC